AGAACCCAGAAATCGACCCAGACACTATGCTCAATTAGTATTTGACAAAGGAGGCATGAACATACAGTGGAGTCAAGACAGCCTCTTCAATAAATGGTATTGGGAAAATTGGTCAGATACATGAAAAAAAAAATGAAACTAGACCACCAACTTACACCATACACAAAAATAAACTCAAAATGGATAAAGGACTTAAACATAAGACGGGAAACCATAAAAATACTAGAGGAATCCACAGGCAGCGAAATCGCAGACATATGCCAAAGCATTTTCCTCACTGATACTGCTCCTAGGGCAATGGACACTAAAGAGAAAATAAAGAAATGGGACTACATCAAAATAAAATCTTTTGCACAGCAAAGGAAACCATCAGCAAAACGACAAGAAAGCCCACTGCATGGGAGAACATATTTGCAAATGTTATCACTGATGAGGGTTTAATCTCCAACATTTACAGGGAACTCATACAACTTAACAAAAGGAAGATAAACAACCCTATCAAAAAAATGGGCAATGGACCTAAATAGATACTTACCGAAAGAAGTCAGAAGAAAGGCCAAGAGACATATGAAAACATGCTCAAAGTCACTAATCTTCTGAGATATGCAAATCAAAACAACAATGAGATACCATCTCACACCTGTCAGAATGGCTATCATCAACAAAATACAAAGCTTTTGCACAGCAAAGGAAACCATCAACAAAACAACAAGAAGGCCAACTGCATGGGAGAACACATTTGCCAACTATATCACCGATAAGGGTTTAATCTCCAACATTTACAGGGAACTCATGCAACTTAACATAGGAAGATAAACAGTCCAATCAAAAAATGGGCAACGGACCTAGATAGACACTTTTCGAAAGAGGACATACAGAAGGCTGAAAGACATATGGAAACATGCTCAAAGTCACTAATTATACGAGAGATGCAAATCAAAACATCAATGTGGTATCATCTCACACCTGTCAGAATGGCTATCATCAACAAATCAACAAAGGACAAATGCTGGCATGGATGTGAAGAAAAAGTAACCCTGGTGCACTTCTGGTGGGAATGCAGACTGGTGCAGCCACTGTGGAGAACAGTATTGAGTTTCCTCAAAAAACTAAAAGTGGAACTCCCATCTGACCTAGTGATTCCACTTCTAGGAATATATCCCAAGAAACTAGAAACACCAATTTGAAAAGATATATGCCCCCCTATGTTCATAGCAGCACAATTCACCATAGCTAAGATTTGGAAACAGCCTAATATCCATCAGTAGATGAATGGATTAAAAAACTTTGGTACATCTACACAATGGAATACTAAGTTGTGGTAAAAAAAGGAGTTCTTACCATTTGCAACAGCATGGATGGAACTGGAGAGCATTATGCTAAGTGAAATAAGCCAGTCATAGAAAGATAAATACCACATGATCTCACTCATTTGTGGAATATAATGAACAACATAAACTGATGAACTATAACAGATCAAGAGACAGAGAAGCACAGATCTGACCGTCAAACCTCAGAGGGAAGGTAGGTGAGGGTGGGGGTAAGGGGGAGAGATCAACCAAAGGACTTATATGCAAGCATATAGGCCTAACCAATGGACTCAGACACCAGGGGAGTGAGGGCATGACTGGGGAGTAAAGGGGGTAATGTGGGGATATGGACTCATATGTAATATCTTAATCAATAAAAAAAATTAAATAAAAAAAGAATAAAAAAGACATGCATATGACGAATTAAAAGAAAAACCTTACCAGTTATTTCCTTTATTTTTCAAGTATAGTTTACATTCAATATTATTCTACATTAGTTTCAGATGTTCAGCAAAGTGGTTAGAAAATCATGTACTTACAGAGTGGTCCCCTCACTAATCTTAAAGCACCCATTTGGTCCTCGCATGGTTCTCACAATATTGACTATATTCGCCATGTGTAAAATAATCTACATCTCCATGACCATTCCGCAACTACCAATTTGTGCTGCTTAATCCTTTTACCTTTTTAAAATCAGTCCCCTAACCTTTTCCCCTCTGATAACTGTCTGTCTGTTATTTGTTTCTGAGTCTGTTCCTATTTTATATGTTTATTTCATTTTGTAGATTCTACGTGTAAGTAAAATCATATGTCTTCTGTAAAACAGTTTTAAATAAAGTAGAAAACATGTCAGATTTGGGTGCAAAAATGAATTTTCTTCCAAACTTTTTCACCTTAAGTTGATTGTATTTATGACTGACTAAAATCACCAGATAGTTCAATTATGTAATCCTGGAAGGTTTACACTGGGATATAAATCTTAGGATCTTAAACCCCAAAGACTTCATATTGGAAACAAATTTTAGCCTGAACAATTAATAATAAGGGAATATTTTTTTGTGTTGAATTTGGTAATTTTTCCCTTCTATTACCTTTCTCACCCTATAATCCTGTAAGGGGTGTTGATATCATTGTGCAATGAGAATAATAATGGATCAAAATTTATCTTGTGCTAATGCTAGGTATTATGTTAAGCATTTAGTATAAATGGAATCACAAAACTATAAAAGTAAAATGCAAATGTTGTTTAAAAATATAAACAAGTGTCAGCTTGCCGGGCCCAGCTGCTGGGTGCAGGGATGTGTGACCTGAACATTGCCGCTATTCTATGCCCTCGAAACTCATTTGGTGAGTGGTGGAGTGAGAGGATATGTATTCTTAGAAATAGAAACTATAAGTATGTACTCTAATCTCTTCATTGTTATTTGACACCAGGTAAACACAATCAGTTTTCTCCTTATTGCTATTTTAAAATGCTTTAGTCACACCAACCAATCCCATTGTTTCAGCTATTAATATTATAACTGCTGATCCCCGAATCTATCAATCAACATCTCTTTCTATAATATGGCAAGATTTATATCTTTTAAAGCTATGACAAAGACTGTCATGAGAATGTTGGAGTCTTACTTTCCTACTCAGAATCTTCTTTCTTTTCATGGGGAGATGTGACTATAGAAGAGCAGTTTGCTGCAAAATTATGGCAAAGATGAAATTCCCATAACTCTTAAATATGCATAACATGATATCCATTAAAGAAAATTGTGGGGAAGCACGGGACTTGCTTGGAAATCTCTGAAAGGTCAGGGGATACTGGAGGACCTTGCTGAAGGTGACAGACCCTGCCTTGACTTTTCCAAACAAGTCTGAGCCCCCAGGTGTTTTACTGAAATCTTTTGCTTAGTCTTTAGACGTCCTTGCTTAAAGGACACTGCAGATGCATGTGTCTTCTCAAGGATACTTACCCTGCTGATAGTACCTAGAAGTTAATTTTAGTTCAAGCTGTTGCTACAATAAAAGCCTGAGGAGGCAGGTGAATGAGGCTGTTTGGTTTTTCAAGCTAAGCAGTCCCTTAGCCCTCTCATGTGTCAGAGTAATCATTCATCTGTGCTCAGGGTCTGCCAGTCAGCCCCGGCAGAAAATTTGATCTACACACACACACACACACACACACACACACACACACAATGTAATATTATTCAGTCATAAAAAATGATCTATTTGCAACAACATGGAGGAACCTTGAGGGATTTATACTCGGTGAAATAAGTCAGCGAGAAAGACAAATAGTGTATGATTCATTTACATGTGGAATCTAAAAAATAAACAAGGTTGTAGATATTATGAACAGATTAGTATTTGGGGGAATGGGTGAAGAAGTTCAAAGGGTACAAACTTTCAGTTATAAAATAAATAAGTCATGGGGATGGATGTAATGTAAAGAAAATAATCTCACATGATATTCTAAAGATTAACTAGATCATCTCATTATTTTAATGCCTATCTGTATCCAATATTTCTTAAAAAAAGCATTGCAGACATTGTGATAGGGATGTTTATTTTTTAAACACAGATGCTGAGATTTGTAATAATATTTAGAGGAAACACATCTTCTTCCCTCACTATACAAGAACTTCTGACAGATCCTAGAGGGTTGGCAGGTACCTTTCCTATTAATCCCAACATCTCTTGCTTTTAGCCTCAGTGCTTGGAACATGGAAAGAATTAAAAATGTGTTGTTAAACTGAATAAATGTGGCTAATGATCTGCAACCTAGTGCCCTGGTTTAAATCTTCCCAGCTAGACTTCAAGTTGCTGAGCGCAGGATCTTGTCTTTCTCACCTACTTACTCTCTTACCTGTGCAAATTAAATTGACATCAGTATTACAAAGTAAAGTGTGAAGGAAAACAATATGAAAGATTTAAATGATATAACAGGATCAGGTTGCTGGAAAGGCAAAAGGACACCAATACCAGTGATTTTCAACTGTTTTCATCTCATGGCCCACATAAACTACTAAAGTTCTGTGGCACACCAAAAAATATATATTTTTTGCCAATTGGATTTTTTAAAAAGTATAATTCTGACTCATTTACATCAAAAGGCTACTGTTGTGTTGGCCTTGACAACCTAAGGGAAAAGAGGTCAGTGCCCCTAAGTAGCCAGGTATTTATTATATGGTTTGAAATTCTTACAGTACACCAACACGGGTATCACTGCTAATACGAAAGTCCGAAAGTCCGGTGAAAATCTACTTGTACTTTTCAGCCCCCTGGGCACCTGCGCTACTTCGGAGAGCCCCGCCCCCTGCCGGCCAGCTCACAGCCCAGAGTGTACACAGACTTCCCCCGAAAGGCCTGCTGGGACCAAAAGTCCTACTCACCTTGGTGATGCCTGACAGAAATATGGCAGCAAATAAAAGCATTTGTAAAAATATTAATTTCATACAATCCACACGTTCTTTTCAGATATGTAAATGCTAAATCAGTAGGTATTTGTAATTAGGAGTCTCCGCCTAGATGCGCATCCGATGCCGATTTTTCAGGCAGTGCTTTGGACAACAGCAACTTTGGAGGTCCCCAGCGTGCCAGCGCCAGGGACCTAAGTGTGGAGGAGCCCTTCGGGAACCGGGGCGGAAGTGGGACTGCTAAAGGAAGTTGGCGTCTTAGTCCATGCCCGCTTCACCATGTAAGTGTTTACCCGCAACCTCCCCAATCCTGATGCCACTGCCCGACCTTAACTCTCTTCCGCTCTTTCTCAGGTCCAAGGTTTCCTTTAAGATCACGCTGACGTCGGACCCGCGGCTGCCGTACAAAGTGTGAGTAGCTCCCCTGCGGTGGCTGAGTAGATCCGGGCTGGATGGAGCCCGGCAGCCCACACAACTCCCACCCCAGCAGCCCACATCCGTTCCTTTCCCTCCCTGCGCCCCTACCCGCGCCCTTCCGGGAGCCTCCCCTTCCCGCCTGTAACTGAGACGAGGCATCCCGGACTGCTCCTCTTCAGTGTCAACTTGCCCTAGCTCCAGGGTGAGGGGCAACTTGCTGCTCGGAACTCATTTGGTGGTGGTGGCTGGGAAGGACTTTGTGGACAGGGCTCTGGTGATTACTGGAATCCTTAAACAGTCCCTGTCTGCTCGTGATTAGAAAGGTCTTTCACGACTTTGACCAGCTGTTAGAGGAAGTAAGAGAAGACATCTCAATCCAGATTTCGAAATTACTTGAATGTTTACTCCTTTCAGGCTTCTGATTCTTTTTGTGTATAAGGGACACACGACTTGGGCACCACAAAGTACTGAGCCTTAAATCATATCCTAATGATGTTTAGGATTAAAAAAGAGTGATTAGTAGAAGTGGGAAATGCAGAAATGGGGCAATTTATTCATGCAGGGCCTTTGCTTATCCTTTAGCAGTTAGCATGGGTCCAATATGGACCTTCTAACCGGATACTTCAGACCTTTATATGATTGCAGGTAAGAATTATTGCAGTCATTGCAGTTGGAAGCCGTATAAAATATAGCAAAGAACAGGTCTTCAATAGGATTTTATATATAACTAGAGGCCCCAGTGCACGAATTTCATGCATGGGGTGGGGTCCCCTCAGCCTGGTGGGCAATCGGGGCTGGCCAGGGGAGGGACTATGGGAGGTTGGCTGTTGGAGCACACTGACCACCAGAGGGCAGCTCCTGCATTGAGCATCTGCCCCCTGGTGGTCAGTGCACATCATTGCTACCGCAGGTCGTCCTGTCCTAACAGTCGCTTAGGCCAGTGGTTCTCAACCTTCCTAATGCCGCGACCCTTTAATATAGTTCCTCATATTGTGGTGACCCCAACCATAAAATTATTTTCGTTGCTACTTCATAACTGTAAATTTGCTACTGTTATGAATCGTAATGTAAATATCTGATATGCAGGATGTATTTTCATTGTTCGCGACCCACAGGTTGAGAACCGCTGGCTTAGGCTTTTATATATATAGATAAATGTTTATTAGTTAAGTAATTATTATCGGGGCCTACCTAATTGAACTATTACAGCTGTTATCAGTCTCATTTAGCTCTCTGGGACCCATGTAACCTCCTAGCCTTTCTCTTTCTCAATTGCTTTATCTCCAAATTAATCTCTTTGCCTAATCTCAAGTAATTGCTCCACCTATAAAATGTCATTTTTAAATACTCCTATGGTTAACCACATTGTCTTCTTACTTCTGATTTACTTTAATATTTCTTCTTTAAAATGTTTCTTTTCATTCATTGATGAGACTTCTTTTTAAATTTTCCCTCTTCCTTACCCAACTTCTTATCTAGCTTAAAGTCACTGTCTTGCAAACACCCTCAACTCTGATACTCGCCCCCCCCCCCACCCCAAACTCCAAGCACTTGGTGAAACACCAATTCTGAACTTTTCTGTATAGACCTGAATGTTCCTGGAAAAAATTACACAATTAGACTGATGAGTTTGACATAAAATTAATAATTATGCTCAATAGTAACCAACACTGCTACATTTTCCAAGTTTGTATATTTTCCTCTTTATTCTCTGAAAGGATTTTTTTTAAAAAATGTATTTTCACACTCCCTGCAATTCCTTTCCTCGTTTCCTTCAAGCCATCAGAGGAAAATTCTCTCATTTTTCCATCACATCTATAAAGCTATCACTATATGTATATACCTATAATTTCTGTCTACAATCCTATTGGAGTAGAAACCATCAGCATGACTTATGAAAAGCCAGTTGTACCACTTGGGCTCTGCATCTTACCTGTTTCAGTCTTCTCAAGATTAAAGCAGAGAGTCTAAAGATCACCCTCTCTTCATCTTTGATTTCTCCCTTTACACTGGATTATTCTCATAAATATATAAATAGGCTTTAAAAAAGAAATTCTGAGAAGGATGGAGAGAGAAAGGACAGGGCAGGACAGCATCAGTATCTATAAGAGTGGCTGGAACATTGTACCAGTTCAATTAATATGGGTGACTGGATGAATTTAATAGGCATACCTATTGTTTAGTGTGTATACTTGTGTTTGTGTGTATAAAGTATGCATAATATATTTACCTGTGTATGTAAAGGTAGTTATACTGTTTCCTATTCAAAGTAAATAGTAACTAGTATTAGTAAAAGCAACTCTTTAAGATTCATGTGAAAACATTCTTTAACTTATAAACATACTTTGATAGAGAAACTTCCTTTTGAGTTTCTAACATTACTAATAGTTGAATTCTATGAAGGATGTTTCAGTTCTAAATTTATTCTGGGCAATATCAGAGTTTTCTGTGTTTTTGTTTGTTGATACAGTCACTGTTGGTGTCATTACTAGGTTATGGAAATGTTGGAATCAAACATTCTCCTTTATATAAAGGATGAATGAAAAACAACATTTGCCTCTTTTAGTCTGATTCCAGTCTTTCCAGACTTCCCACCTCTTCTCCCCTCTTACTACCACCATTATTTAACAAAGCATCAGCCACCCTATTCCTAAATTGAAAAGCAAGTCTTTTTAACTCCCTGCTTTTTACACATGTTCTTTTCTTTGATGGGAATGCAGTCCACTTCCTGACAAACAATACTCTTTAAAAATAAAAATGAAATTTACCTCTGCAGGTTTCTATAATTGTCTAGGGGATTCATCTTGTCCTTCTTTCATTTCCTATAGAAACTTTATTCTTATTCTTTATAACAGCACTTGTTGTGTCATAGTTCTCTTTATATGAAATATACATTTTTTTAAAAACAGATTTGCCATTGATTTATTTTTAAAATTCACTTTAATATACACAATAGTGCGCCTGCTCTCCCCCTTTTTTCAAAACACCAGTATAATGTGTAACTGCCATTTTACAAAATGATGCTACTGGCAAACACAAATTCAAATCTAGATAAAGTCTATGGCGTCACAGTAACTCTGAGTTCCTCTGTAATTTTCTGCCACATAGAACATACATTAAAAAGTATTTTTTTTCTGTTTTATTGCATTGTCTTTGCATAATCCCAACTGTACAAGTGGAACTTTATTTTAATGAATATCAATATGACATCTAGTTACAAAGATGTTGCCAGTCTCCATTTAAAAAGGGAATCGAAACCCTAAGATTTAGAGCTTGTCGTTTTGAGGATGAATCTCAGGACCTAAACTATGAATGTAATGCAAAAATACTTGCAGTTCTGTTCCTTACTTTGTAAACTATCACATTGCCAACTTACTAGATAATTTTTAAACAATGCCTACCGTTTAGTGTGAGGCCACAGCCTGCGTGGCCTGGGTTCAAAGGCCTGGAGAAAGAGCTTATGTGCAAATTAATATACAAGACAAGAGATATAAATTTGGAAATTATGGGGGAAGCCAGATATGAACTTAGTTCAAGTGACTAAGCTCCACTGAATCTCCGCACTCATCTTCTTTTTATTTACTAGAATAAAAAATTGCCTTTTAGGAATGCAAACAGACATATCAAAGGTAATGTTTAGTAAACAGTGAAAGATTATCAGGTTGGGGGGGTTGCCTTCGGTCATTGAATCAATAGCAGGTAATAACAATGCACATATTCAGCCTTCTGAATATCAAAGCCCTATTCAGCCTTCTGACCTGACTTCTTGCATTTGTATTAATTACTGTTGATCTTGGATTCCAGCACTTCAGAATTTTTTTTTTCTTTCCTCCTCCCCCCCCCCCCACCCCAGAAAAGTAAAGAAAGGTAAAAACAATGATAACTATTTTCACTTTTTAGTTCAGTGGTTCTCAACCTTCTGGCCCTTTAAATACAGTTCCTCATGTTGTGACCCAACCATAAAGTTATTTTCGTTGCTACTTCATAACTGTAATGTTGCTACTGTTATGAATCGTAATGTAAATATCTGATATGCAGGATGGTCTTAGGCGACCCCTGTGAAAGGGTCGTTCGACCGCCAAAGGGGTCTCGGCCCACAGGTTGAGAACCGCTGTTTTAGTTGGATTTTAGAGGAGTTGGGGCAGCCAAACTCTATTCACACATACTGAAGTCATAATGCACTGTGTCAGATATAATAATTTTTCTATTCAATTTGTACACTAAGAAATGGGATTTATATGTGAAAATGTTACATAATGGAAGTTGGTATTAAAACATTAAAGAATAATATAGTGGTTACAAATAGAGAAGTTTCAAAGCGATATGTTAGCTTGTAAGTCTCTTTTTCCTGCTGTGAAAAAGAATCTGTTTTTCTGTCTTTAATGATTGTAACTCATTTTACCTTAAGAATATTATATTTGTTATATTTTTTTTTGTTACCTTCTCTGTCTTTAAGTGTTTCTTAAGGATATAATATCAGGTTTTTTTTTTAAGTATTTAAATTGGAAAATTCATAGATTGACCATTTATCAGCAATCTGTAATACACTTGACATTGTATAAGTCAGTAACAAAATCATGCATCACTCTCCAAATGTTATTTCAGATTTTATTAAGCCCTTGATCTGAGGAGGTATAAGAGTTTTGTGGGAAATGACTTTACATTTTGCCATAGTAAACATACTCATTTTCATCAACTTGGTCTACTCTTTTAGACTTGATTATTAAAAGTGCACAGAAAGGATTATGAAAACATTTGTGATCTGGTGATGCTTCCACAGGTAGCCTTTTCTTGTAATGAAAATGACATTCCTGCATTGAGTAAAAAGTTGTGTGGACTGAATACTAAGGAGAGATTCAACTTTTTGAAATCCATCTCTGGAAACAAGCAGCATCCCATATCCTAGACCTATTTGTATCAAAGTATTAAAAATGTATAAATCTTCTCCTATATAGATTGTTGATAAGACCTATTTGTATCAAAGTATTAAAAATGTATAAATCAGCTCCTATATAGGTTATTTTATTTTTTAAATATATTTTTACTGATTTCAGAGAGGAAGTGAGAGGGAGAGAGGGATAGAAACATCAATGATGAGAGAGAATATTTGATTGGCTACCTCCTGCATGCCCCCTACTGGGGATTGAGCCTGCCTAGGCATGTGTCCTTGACCGGAATCAAACCCAGGACCCTTCAGTCCGCAGGCCGACACTTTATCCACTGAACCACACTGGCTAGGGCCCTATACAGTGGGGCCTTGACTTACGAGTGTCCCGACTAACGAGTTTTTCAAGATAGGAGCTGTTTCTCGGCCGATTTTTTGCTTTGAATTGCGAGCTAAAATTCGGGTTACGAGCCAGCTTCAGATACCCCACCGCTAGTTGGCGCAGCGAACGTCACGGTGAATGCCACAACATCAGCCCAGCATCACGTGTCATTGTAATGGTGAAAATTGATTTGACATACGAGTACTTTGAGTTACGAGCTCGGTCATGGAACGAATTAAACTCGTAAGTCAAGGCCTCACTGTATAGGTTATTGATAAGACCTATTTGTATCAAAGTATTAAGAATGTATAAATCTGTTCCTATATAGGTGTTGATATTCAGGTAGAGCTATGGCAGAATCTAATTTAAGCCTAATTGCTTGTTTTGTTTGTTGTTGTTGTTTAGAGTTCATAATGTAGTATGCAATAAAAATACACAATCTTTAAACTCAAAAGACAAATTTATTTAGGTCTGCTAAAATTGCTAATATGAGGAACAAAGAGCTTTAAAAAACCAGCTTTTAAAAAAATTATTTTTAATTTTTCTTTCAGACTCAGTGTTCCTGAAAGTACACCTTTTACAGCAGTCTTAAAGTTTGCAGCAGAAGAAGTAAGTATAGAAATTGGAACAACCTGTATAGAATACAGATTGACAGTGTATCTCAAAAATCTTTAAATTTTGCATGTACTTTTAACACACCACTTCTCTGTAGGTTTATTACTAGGTTAATGCTATCAAAAAGTTAAGCTTTACTAACAGATATAAGTAGAATGAAAGTTAAGACTTACTGACAGATATAAGAAGAATGAGTTTAAATTGACATATCCAATGCAGCCATTGAGAAATATAAGGAATTTTTATTGAAATTGAAAAGATTCAATTATATGTAAAATTTTTTAAGCAGCAACATATCATTCTAGTGTGTATATTCATTTTTACTACCTTTTATTCTAGAATTATAATTTTTAAAATATCTGTCATATTTTTCAAAATTTTTGTGTATGTGGACTGTCAGTAAAAGTTATTTTTAAAAGTGTCTAGCTTTTTAAAAAATATTTTGGTTTTCTCTTTTGAGAAAAATTTCCATTCAAAATTATCATTAGAGAAATCTATAAAGCAACTCTTTGGACATGCCATGGGGAAGAGTAGCTTGGGTAGAAATGGCACCCAAATGTGACTTGGAGACTTAAGATTCCTATTGTAAATGTGTCATTCACTATCTGTATGACATAGGCAAGCTTCTCAGTTTCTCTTCCTCAAATTTCTTAATTTGTAAAAGGAAGTATGTGAAGTTAAAAGTGCTATACTGGTACAGAGGAACTCAAATCTAAATTTTGGTTCAGAATCTTCAGAAAAAATTTATAATTATGGAAAATAATTTTAGTTAAATAAGAAACCAGCTTAACCTATAATCCTTTATTAAAGTGATTAATGGAAAATAAACAACTCATCAGCACTCAGCCCCTCATACTATTGTCAGGGACCACTGACATTATTTATCACTCATTTAGAATTAAACTGAAAAATGGTAGTACATGTTTTATAGCCAGATTTGATCTATTCTTCATGTAGAAAGAATAAGTTAAAAGAAATGGGAAATAAATCTGAATATAGCATCATCATTATTTTTTGCTATACAGATCACTTGTAAGAAATATACCTGGCCTGGGACATAGCAGATTCCACAGATTCTAATTTAAGAAGTAGATCTGTATTTATAATTTGCAGTAATTTATTTTACTATAAATTTGCAATGATTTATTTATTATAACAAATAATAATATTTAATTATTTTATTATTACTTACAGAATGTATTTATAAAAATGACATTTATTTTTCTATTTTATAATTGGTTTATAATGTGTTTTTTATAAGGCAAAGACATTGATGTCATCCTGGTCATTTAGTGTGAGGATAAGAACATCTTAACAAACATGCAGTGGAAAATTAATAACTTCACCCAATCACATGTATTGGTTAAAGTTTTAATATAGCTTATAATTATTGTGAATCACGGGTGTTATACATTTAGAAAAGTAATGACTTTCAGTTAACAGTGAGAAGGCCTTTCGCAAGATGACATTGTAGAATGTTTCAGTAGGAACAAGACTTGACTTGACAAACCAGAGAATGTGGATTTAAATCCCTAGTAAAGTTCTTTTAATAAAAATATAATAAAATTTCCCACTACATGACTGGGTTAATTTAGTAGTGAGTTGTCAAAGCATGAGAAGAGCTGCTTCACATTGTAAATTTTAAGACTTATGAAATCAGGAAGAAAATAAATGAAAACTGAGAAACATAAAATACACTTTGCACCCAAGAGGAAACTTGTCAGTAATTTGGGACAAAACTAGTAGTTAATATAATTTACTTTACTAGTGATGCTTCCCCAAATTTTAGCTTTCTTGTTGCTTCTACATTCTGGAGAAGGGAAAAGTGGTATCAGCTGTTTGCTTTTGATTTTTAATGTTCATGAAATATGTTGCCACTATATGGATGTGACTAAGAAACCTGTTTTATCTTAAAATGGACATAATCTAAGAATAAAACACACTCAGTAGGGAACGAGAAACTTTGTAATATTCAAGTTTTGGAAATCTGACATATCCTCTAATTAATTTGGGTATTTGGTCAAAGTTTTATTAAGTAGTACAACCTTTTAGTAATTTTTTAAGTTATTTTAAATTGGGTTTATTTAAAATTCTTAAATCTGTGAAAGGACATTTACAACTAAGAATGTGCCATATAGACAGTAAAATTTGTTGTTAGGTACATAATCCTGTAATAATTGTTTTATGCATAATTCCATTCTTAAAATGGGATTCTTCCATTTATAAGTTAAAATAAGCTTTCAGTTGTTTTCCTCAATTATGCATATGTGACCATTATAAATACCTAGAACAGTGTTTCCCAGATTATTTTTCCTAGAGAACTAGAACCACCAATAAGAAAAAGAAAACAATTCCATGAAAAACTGGGATCATTGGCCAAAAAGTATGGGAAATACTTCATTCACTATTTTCTTCTTGGAGTTTTAAAGTATTAGCAGCATACTTGAAAATTTTGAAAAGAATATCAATATAACGTCGTGTTTTCAAACTTATTTGGTTACAACAAACTCAACTATAATATCTACAAAACTTGTCCATAGCATAGAAGGGCATACTTGTTGGAAAAATTAATGAATTATGAAGACATGAATATACTTAGACAACTGCTGGTCTTTAGAGCATTGAGAAGAATTCTGACTTTAACTACAACAAGTTTCTTACCACATTTCATTGATTTAGAAAACACATCTTTTACAACATCTCTAAAAATAGATCTGGAGTCTTACTATCACTGTTAGCCATGTGGCAATCACATAATTATCTTGATATCACCTGCAATACTTGAACTTAGTTATTATTTTCCTGGTGGTATAATTAGAGTATTGCCATTGTGTGAGATTTAAGTCAGCAATACACGAAAGGAGAATTTGAGGAAGGACTCTAAGCCTTGGTTGGCCTCCCATTAAACACAATAGAGCATTTATTTGAACTTACTATTTCCACAAAGAAATTTTAGGAATATTCTATGCCAGTGGTCAGCAAACTCATTAGTCAACAGAGCCAAATATCAACAGTACAACAATTGAAATTTCTTTTTTTTTTTAAGTGAATTCTGCCTCTAAAGGCCCATAATATTTTGGATCTCTTAGCAGCTCTTTATTTTTACTTATTTATTTTTTTAAAATTAAATCTTTATTGTTCAGATTATTACAGTTGTTCCTCTTTTTTTCCCCCCCGTAGCTCTCCTCCATCCAGTTCCCACCCCACCCACTGCCCTTACCCCTCCCACTGTCCTCATCCATAGGTGTACGATTTTTGTCCAGTCTCTTCCTGCACCCCCACACCCCTTTTCCCCCAAGAATTGTCAGTCCACTCCCTTTCCATGCCCCTGGTTCTATTATATTCACCAGTTTACTCTGTTCATCAGATTTTTTATTCACTTGATTTTTAGATTCACTTGTTGATAGATACGTATTTGCTGTTCATAATTTTTATCTTTACCTTTTTCTTCTTTCTCTTCTTAAAGAATACCTTTCAGCATTTCATATAATGCTGGTTTGGTGGTGATGAACTCCTTTAGCTTTTTCTTATTTGTGAAGCTCTTTATCTGACCTTCAATTCTGACTGGTAGCTTTGCTGGATAAAGTAATCTTGGTTGTAGGTTCTTGCTATTCATCACTTTGAATATTTCTTGCCACTCCCTTCTGGCCTGCATAGTTTCTGTTGAGAAATCAGCTGACATTCGTATGGGTACTCCCTTGTAGGTAACTGACTTTTTTTCTCTTGCTGCTTTTAAGATTCTCTCTTTGTCTTTTGCTCTTGGCATTTTAATTATGATGTGTCTTGGTGTGGTCCTCTTTGGATTCCTTTTGTTTGGGGTTCTCTGCGCTTCCTGGACTTGGAAGTCTATTTCTTTCACCAGGTAGGGGAAGTTTTCTGTCATTATTTCTTCAAATCGGTTTTCAATATCTTGCCCTCTCTCTTCTTCTGGTACCCCTATAATTCGGATGTTGGTACACTTGAAGTTGTCCCAGCGGCTCCTTACACTATCTTCATATTTTTGGATTCTTTTTTCTTTTTGTTTTTCTGGTTGGGTATTTTTTGTTTCTTCGTATTTCAAATCTTTGACTTGATTCTTGGGATCCTCTTGTTTGCTGTTGGATCTCTGTATATTATTCTTTATTTCAGTCAGTGTATGCTTAATTTCTAGTTGGTCTTTTTTCATATCCTCCAGGGTCTCACTAAATTTATCGGTGGTTTCCAGAAAATTCTTGAAAAACCTTATAACCGTGGTTTTGAACTCTATATCCAGTCGTTTGCTTTCCTCCATTTCTGTCATTTGTGACCTGTTTTCTTTGTCTCCGCATTTTTTATGCTTCCCTGTGTTGGTAGACTGGCTTTGTGTGCTAGGGGTCTTATAGGGTCCTGTGGCTCAGGCTCCCCAATTACCTGAGGTGGACACTCTTGGTGCACCCCTTTGTGGGCTTTGTGCACAGTCTTGTTGTAGTCTTGTTGTAGTTAAGCCTTGATTGTTGTAGGTATCACTGGGAGGAATTGACCTCCAGGCCAATTGGCTGTGAGAATCAGCTGTGTCTGCAGTGGGAGAACTTCTGAGCTGGAGACACCCTTCTTGGACAAGACTTGTTTCAGTGGGGCTTTGGTGCTCACTGAATCTGCCCCCTGAGTGTGTCCCTTATTGATCTGAGGAGTTGTAATCTGGATGGTCCCACTCTGACCACTGGGTACACTGGCTCTTGGATCTAAGGAGGTGCTAATTTAGCCTCTGTCTGAGGCTACCAAGCAGGAGCTACGAAGAGATCTGCAGATTCCCCTTCCTTGTTTGGGGTTTGGAGGTGCCCAGATGAGGCCCAGCTGTGAAGTAATGCAAGCTGCTGTGGGGCCTTGGGCCTTCTCTTGGAAGTTCTGGGTCTGTCTGGCCCAGCTGCAATTTGTTAGGTAATTTTCAGAATGCAAAGGGCCAGAGCATTCATATGCAAAAGCCTCTGCTGCAGCCTGGGTGGGGCAGGGTCTCAGGGAATCAACAGGGTGGAGCAAGCAGCTATGGCTGATCCTCAGCCCTGCCCTAAGGGGCCCCTAATCTCAGTGTCCCGGTAATTGCTGCAAGCACCTCTGAGGGAAAGCCACCCTCAAGTTCTGAGTTCTGCCTGCTGCCAGACAGTCCAGTTTCTCCCCGTATGAGTCCTGGGTCCCCAGAGACTTCTCGGAACTGGAGTTCAGAGCAGTCAGGAGCTTGTGACTCCCTCCCGATTCAAAAAGACAGCCCCGTCCTCAGGTGCCAGCCCCTTTCCGCGCGCTCGAGCCTCCGTACCTCTGCACTTTACTTCCGCAGCTCCTCTGAGTCTGTGTGCTCTTCTCTTTCCTTCTAGTTGTAGAATTTCCACTCAGCCAGCCTTCCTGTGGTTCTGGATGATGTCCATTTTGTCTTTTCGTTGTATTTTTGAAGTTGTTGTGGGAGGCAGCAATTTCCGGTGTTTACCTATGCCGCCATCTTGGTTTCTCCCTGAAATTTCTTTTGAGAGCCAAATTTTTTAAACTTAAACTATATAGGTAGGTATATTGTTATTAACTTAATTAGGGTACTCTTATGGCTTAGGAAGAGCCACACTCAAGGGGCCAAAGAGCCGCATGTGGCTCGCGAGCCGCAGTTTGCCGACCACGGTTCTAAGCAATCGTTTTGCTTTTATTTTTGCTTATGAAAGAAAGCAACAATTCTAAGTCCGAAAGAGTAAACATTGATTGAGTCATAGATTCATTGATAGTGAATTTTTGTTTTGTTTTTGCAGTGAGTAAAATAAGGTGCATGGTATTCTTTAGAATGAAATGTAGTATTTAGAGGGCAATAATATTTTTAAAAAATACAGCAAATTAAATTAGCCCTTTGTTTTATGATGTGACTTATCCTGAAAGAAAAGCCACATTTTAGAATGATCTGTACACCATTCTTGTTAAACTAACCATCTTTTATAGAGTATGTGTGTGTATAGAAATTTTTTTCTTTTTCTCCCCTTTAGTTTAAAGTTTCTGCAGCCACAAGTGCAATTATTACCAATGGTAAGAATTCATTTAAAAATTATTTATTACCTTAGAACTATAGAAATTATTTAAAAGAAGTCAAATTAATTAATTTAACTTGAATGCAAAAAACCCAAACTTTATATCAACATGAATGAAATACATAATTGTAAATACTAAGTCAAGGTTATTGTCCATAGCTAGCTCTTTTCAGATTCTTTATGCTTTTTGGTATAGGATAGCATTTTGTAATATCTTATTATATCCTGATCACTTCTTGCCAGATTATTACTGAAAATAACCTTTATTTACCAGGTGTTTCTTTTTCAAAATAAGCTTTTTGATAAATGCTTATAGAATTTAGGTAGTTAAGTAGGAATGTACCTTTGCTGTACTTTGTAGTTGCCTTCCTGATGAAATCTATTTCTTACATACTAGCAATGATGAGGATTTTATCCAATTAGATATATAATTTAAATTCTGAATATCTTAAAACACTACTAATAATTAAGTTTGATGAACCTAGTTCTATGAGAAAATACTGATATAAGATGAGGAGTAAAGATGGCAGTGAGGGCTTAACTATTTTTCAGGAATACACCATAATATTTCTAGGTGCTAGTGAGTGATTTTCTGTGCCATTAGGGTAAGCTATGAAAATGGGTTTAATAGACAGTAGTGTGATTTAGTTTAGATATGACAAAATTTCTCATTCTAAAACATTCTGTATACTGTCACATTGAAGTGTTTCTCTAGTTAGAAGAAAGCTAGCCTACTTTCTACAAAGTTTTAGATTCATAGGTGTTTTATAAACTTTTGTCAAGTGTCAGTGGAACTTGAATTAGATGAGTTTATGGGCTCTTCTGGCCTTAAGATTTGTAAGCCTCAGAGCAATAACTAAGTGATTAATGACATACCTGAGGTGTATTTTTCACTTTGTATAGCATAATAGAATTTTAAAAAATTATGTTTGTAGACCTTATCAGGATCATTGCATTGACAGATACTCTTGTTTAATCTACCACTGTGTGTGAATGCACAATAGTAATAGATTTCAGTAGATAATTTATCCAAAAGATTGTCATTCATGTTTTTGGATTTAAATTGTTTGGCTTGCCCAGCAGGCATGGCTCAGTGGTTGAGCTTTGACCTATGAACCAGGAGGTCACGGTTTGATTCCCCGGTCAGGGCACATGCCCGGGTTGCAGGCTGATCCCCAGTACGGGGCATGCAGGAGGCAGCCGATCAGTGATTCTCTCTCATCATTGATGTTTCTCTCTTTCTCTCTCTCTCTCTCTCTCTCTCTCTCTCTCTCTCTCTCTCTCTCTCTCTCTCTCCCTCCCTCTCCCTTCCTCTCTGCAATCAATAAAAATATATATATATATATTTTTTAAATTATTTGGCTTGTGCCTATATACACAGCAGCAGTATTTTGGCCAGTCTCATTACTATTGAACCATTTTAGCTTTAGAAATAATTTAGATGATTTTATAATTTATTTTCTAGATGGAATAGGAATAAATCCTGCACAGACTGCTGGTAAGTATCTATCTGAAATTCATGGAGATGTGGGTGGAGCTATATATGTCAGTTGATTGGACTGGATAGGATTTTACCAGGATTATAGATGTTCTTTTAGGGATTATATGCCAGTCTTCACCTATGGGTCTGAATAATAATTTGTTTCATTATGTGTATTAGTTATTATGCTTTTGACTAAGGGAAACCCTGACTAATAAGCATTAAAGATATTAACACTCATAACAAAAATTCTGAAGATAAGATTGTACTCTTACTGGAATAATGGTTTTGACCTACCTCATAAGGTAGTTGTGAGGTAATATATGTAAAGTGCTTAAAAGATTGCCTTATCCATAGTGAGCATTCAATAAGTGCTATTATTTCAAAGAGGTACAGTCATTTAAATTTCAGAGGGCTTAGTCCACACTCAGAGGTTCAAATATAACATTATACAGTGCTATATATTGGTGTCCTAACAAGAAAGCAGGGTCATCTTTTTTTTTTTTTTAATTGATTTCAGAGAGGAAGGGAGAGGGAGAGAGAAACATCAATGATGAGAGAATCATTGATCGGCTGCTTCCTGCACGCCCCCAACCAGGGATCGAGTACACAACCCGGGCATGTGCCCTTAACCGGAATCGAACCTGGGACCCCTCAGTCCACACGTCGATGCTCTATCCTCTGAGCCAAACTGGCTAGGGCAAGCAGGGTCATCTTCACCTTTTTAACAGGCAGTTTTATATATTTTTTAAATGTACCCTTTTTAAAGTTAAGCATGCATTAATATAATGAACCTCAATCTTGAGTAGTATTTATGTTTAAATTATATTCTAAAGTACTTCTGTCTTATAACAAAATTACATTGTTCTCGTAGATCTTGGGATTGAAATTTGGCCATATAGAAAATGAAGAGGGATTTAAAATTGTAATTTTTTAAAATTTAAATCAGTTGTTTTAGGTATATTATAAATTTTATTAAATTGAAAAGGTTATTAATTGAAAATCATGAGGCATTTTATGGCATAAATGCCTTTAAATTTAGGTTTAAAGGTTTTGTTTTCTTATTCTAGAAATGTTCAATTTACGTTAATTTGAATTATTGCTTATTGTAATATGTTACCAGTTGTATTCCCTTAAAGTTGAAAGGTATACTTTATGGGACACAGAGTAAATCTCATCATTTAATTGAACCAAAATAGGTCAGGGTTTCCAAACTTTTTTGACTTGTGGTAATTTAGATTCATTATTTTTGCGGTCTTTAGGTATTTTATTGTGTACTAAAGCAAGTATTGATGGTTAAATTGATTTACATTATGATTTGCTGAGTGTATTAGCATTTTTATGGCTAATGTTCATATTTAAAATTTTCAGACATATGATTAGGTTGTAAAGATGTGAGTAGAATAGCAACAAGGCTTTAAAAGCATGGAATTAGTTTCTGATGATGTTTGTGTTTTTGTACCTACTTACTTTACAGTGCTTTATTGTTGTTTTTTTACAATGCTTTGTTTATTGTATATAATTGTTGGAATGTTATGATAACCTCTTTTTTAAACACCTAACTTTATGTTTTGTTTGTTTGTGTAGGAAATGTTTTCCTAAAGCATGGTTCAGAACTGCGAATTATTCCTAGAGATCGTGTTGGAAGTTGTTAATATCCTCTACTTAAAGATAGAATTACCTTTCAAAATAAATATTGGGTATTGCTGTTGTAAAACTGAAATCAGGCATTTAAAATACTATGAAAACACCAATAATTGATGAAATAATGAAAGGTTACTTCCTGTCCCTTCCTTTTGTTCTCACTCTTCATGTGAAGAGAGAATGCTTATGCATTGAGGGTATCATTTTTACAGAAGATCCTAGTCTTTCATTGCTACCTCACAGCACACACAGCTGGTTCATTTGGGGTAAATGGATTACCCAACTGTGTTTTTTTACTGGAGGATAATTCTGAGAACATTTGGAAGATTAAATTTGTTGAATCTTTCTATTTGTCTTTAAGGTAAAATTTTAAAAGGCTTATGGATTACACAGGGCAGGTTACTTGAAGGATCTGATTTGCAGACTCAAAAATAGTTGAGGGGAGAAGGAGAAGTGAGGAGGGAAGCAGAGGAGGGGGGAGGGAAAAAAATAGTTGAATTCTTAATCATATACTGTTTATGATAAAGGATATAGACATATCAATGAATACTTAAATGTCTTAACTTTTTACATTTAGGTATTTTTTTAAGTTTCAAGCTTCATGTGTTTATATAAATTTTAATTTAATATCAGAGAACCAAAATTTCAAAATTTGAATTTTTTGACCTAGCCCCTATGTGTAAAATTGATAGCCCTCACCAAAGAGTTTTAACTATGATCCTGCAGAATCCAATTCTTGTAATGGTAAGAATTGAAAATAAAGTAGAAGCATCCTTTGCTGAGTAATGCATTCTTTATCAGTCTCTTTTAATACAGACTTTAAAACAGGAATTTTCAAGAAACGTCTTTCTGAGGATATTTGGAAACCGCATTCAGGAAGAGACTATTGTAAAGAAGATCTGAAAATCACAACAAAGGTCAAGAAAATGCTAATGGAAAATAATAATTAATTATACTCACTGAAGGCCCAACTTTTAAGGAAGTGTTAAGATAAATCAAGTGAATAAGAAGCCAAGAAAGGGAAGATGGGGAAGCCCAGGTAGCAAAAGACAACAGTGAAGGGGAACAGAAAGCTGTCACAAAATACAGCTGGATAGGCAAAAGTGCAGAGGCTGTGTTGTGTTGTGTTGTGTTGTGTTGAGATAACAGAAGGGGATACTAGACATTGTCATAAGTAGCAGAAGGCAATTGGAAAAAGCAAATTATAGGCCTTTTCAACATACAGATTTGATAATTCCCTTTATGAGAATCTAAAGAATGATATGCATAAGGAATGTTTTTATTTGCCCTTACAGAGGAAATCAATATCTATTCAAATCTTTAAAAATGAAATGAAGGCTCATTAGTGATTCAGAACCAGTGCTCAATTTGCTGTATTTTAGATGGTGAGCTCTCTGGAGCAGGCCTTGTGTTTGTCTTGCTCTTTCTAGACCTGGAAATGTAGTAGGCTTTCAATAAATACTTGCTGAATTATTCATAAATAAAATATCTCTAAGACAAGTTTTTATGTAAGCATATTTTAGCGTCTTCCCTATCATGGGCCCTTGTTTCATTGGGAGAAAAACATTAGGAAATGTAACAGCATCAGCATCTGAAGGGTGACATTGGTAGTTAAGTTTAAGAAATGAACCAGATACTGTTTATATATCTGATAAATGAACAGTGGGATTCTGATTTATAAAAGGGAAAAAATATTTTCTGAAGCAGAGAAGTATACTTCTGATGTTTGAGAAAGTATTTATTTTCATAAATAAAATTCGATGCTTAAATATCCCCTGCTCCTTAATATTAAGCCTCAATTAACCAGAAATTTGAGTATCCATTCCCTGAATTTCTTGTTTAATTTAGATCCCATCTTTTGTTTCTAGCACAAAGTCTGCCTGCTGTATTACATAAGTAAGTTTATGATACCCTCTACTATAAAGTAATTTGTTTAATATTTTTGTTTTTCAGTTTTGAAAATTTTATTGTAAGTTCTTAAAAACATTTGCTTAGACATTTTGTTATTAAATAAATATAATCAGTAAGTTCTTTGTGCAGCATGTTTTGAAGTATTTTGTTTAAATGCATTATTGGCACATAATATTTCATGAAAACACAGTTTGTTATACCATAAGGCATATTTTATTTTTTTATTTTATTAGCACAAATTTGTTAATGTATTTTTATTGATTTCAGAGAGGAAGGAAAAGGGAGAGAGAGAGAGAGAAACATCAATGATGAAAGAGAATCATCTATTGGCTGCATCCTGTACACCTCCTACTAGGCATCGAGGCCACAATCCGGAAATGAAAGCATGGACCTCCTGGTTCATAGGTTGACGCTCAACCACTGAGCCACACTGGCCAGGCTAAAGCTTTTAATTAGCACACTTATTAAGCCAGTACATAAGAAATGAAGAAAAACAATAGACAAAAGTGATTAATGACCATAGGTCATAGAATGAGCATATATATTTCCAAATACCAGTCCTATGTTTGGGAGGGGCAAAGGGAGAGGTTATAGTGATTGTTCAGGCTAGTTGGTCCCAAGCCTGGGTGATTATGAGAGGCACTTAGGGAATTAAAAATACAGATTTATGGAAACCACCCCTAAAGTTCTGATTCATTAAATCTGAAATAATATACTTTTCTGTTTACAAAAAGCCATCCTGGTGAGTTCTTCTGTGTAGCTGGGTAAACTTTTTTACTTTATAGGTGAACAAAATGAAGTCTAAGGAGTCAAAATAACTAGAATATGTTGTAGAATCTTGGAAAGTATACATTCCAATTCTTGGTTGTCTAGTAGGTAAGTGCGAAGATGCTACTTAACAGTCTGTTTCACTAACTGATAGTTAAGCCTCCTTTTAAAGTGCTTCAAGGCTAATACTTATTGGATATTTTGTTTCTAAAAATTTGTTTTTTGAAAGAAAAGTCAATGGAAGAAACAGTCCTATTTAAGCCTCCCTCTCCCCAAATTAAGATTAAAAATATGTCTTTTACCTAAGAACCTTGAAATATTTGTGACTTGGCAGCATTAATATACTTTAATGGAGCAATTCTAAGTTAAATAATTTAATGTTCCCAAATCTATAAAACTGAAAATTATATACATAAATTATATATGTACTAGAGGCCCAGTGCATGACATTCGTGCACTGGGGGGCGGGGGCGTCCCCTCAGCCTGGCTTGTACCCTTTAGCAGTCCGGGAGCCCTCAGGGGATGTCCAACTGATGGTTTGAGTGGGCCTAAGCCGTCAGTCGGACATCCTTAGCTCTCCGCAAAGGCAGTAGTGGCTCCCACCACCGCCGCTGTGCTTGCCAGCCGTCAGCCCAGCTTATGGCTGGGCGGTGCCCCCCCCCCCACCCCATGGGAGCACACTGACCACCAGGGAGCAGATCCTGCATTGAGTATCTGCCCCCTGGTGGTCAGTGCATGTCATAGCAACCGGTCGTTCCACTATTCGGTCAATTTGCATATTACCCTTTTATTATATAGGATTTTTTGAGCATATATATGTGGTTTATGTATGTATATAATTTATGTATGTAATTCATATATGTATGAAGTTTTGTTTAGATATGAATTGTATATGTAATCCATCCAAAATAAATGTATTGAACATCTATGTGTCCAGTATTTTGATACTTTCACTTATTCTTCACAGTAATTCCACATTTTTATCCCTGTTTTACAGAAGGAAAAAAAGGCTTTCAGAGATTGAGATTTGAAATCTAATCCTTTGAAGTCTTCATACTGGGAGACATTTTCAGTATCATTTTTTACAACATACTAGCTCTGTATTGAATAATACATTTAAAAATATAAAAGAAATGTATAAAGCTTAAATTCACATTTCAGAGTACTGAATATATGTGCAATGATCATGAATAGTATTACTTAATACAAGGTATAAATATGATAAAATTTTAAGGAATTAAGTAAAATCCAGTCAAATGAAGATAATTATGATTCTGGCCTTACTCCATAGGGCAGAGGTTCTCAACCTGTGGGTCGCGACCCCTTTGGGGTTGAACGACCCTTTCACAGGGGTCACCTAAGACCATCGGAAAACACATATAATTACACATTTTTGTGATTAATCACTATGCTTTAATTATGTTCAATTTGTAACAATGAAAATACATCCTGCATATCAGATATTTACATTACGATTTATAACAGTAGCAAAATTACAGTTATGAAGTAGCAACGAAAATAATTTTATGGTTGGGGGTCACCACAACATGAGAAACTGTATTAAAGGGTTGCGGCATTAGGAAGGTTGAGAACCACTGCCATAGGGTGACATAATGGGAATAGGACTATTAGCCTATATTTATCAGCCCCATCTGACAATTTGATTTTTGATCATGTATCTTACTGATGTAACTACAAATATCAGTCCCCCAGTAACCTGTTTTTCCAACCATACTACCCATAAGCCCCTGTAATACAGAAATTCTAGAACTGCTCTCTCAGAGTTAATGCTGGAGATTGATAAATTATTTAAACCAGGCTATTTAATTAAACCATTAATTGAAATAAACATTTTCAAAAGCCTCAGTCTATCCAGTCTGTTATCTTCATCTTCCAAATTGCCTAAGCCAGATATTTGGAACTCATTTCTTTCCTTGCTCTAACCATAGCAAATGAATCACAAAATTATATTGATTTATTTTACAAAAATATATCTCAGCCATCTCAACTGTAATTTAAACCCTCATCTTCTGGTATGTTTCTTCTTTTGCACTGTTATAATGAGCATGGAATATGTAGTTTAACTGGTTAACATTCTACTGGATAAAAGTCTATCCTTTTCATGACATGAGGGCCTTTATGAACTGGTCTTTGTACAGAGTCATTTGTTATCACTACTCTTAAATTTTCCTTTCCAATTCATATGCAGCTACCCTGACCAAGAAATAGTTTCTCAATGTGCCATGTTCTTACGCCTTCATAACTTTACTTTCTCCACTTATCTGCCTGGGAACCTAACACTCATTCTTCAAGTTGAAAAGCCATTGGGCCTTTCCTCCTTTCAAGAAGTTGGGTATTCAGCTGTCTAAGCAACAGTTGCATTTTGTACATTCCTTCATTATAGCAATTGTTAAATACAGAATCATAATGTTTATCTCTAATTTAAACTATACATTTTATAAAAGCATTAAGATCATGACTGAAGCTATTTCCAAACTGTTTTGCCCAAAGTAGATAGTAAGTACTTTATAATTAAAAGACTACATAAAAGAATGAAAGATTTAAAAGTCGCAACTACATGTGACTCAAATGTAATAACTTCTTTAGCCACAATATTTGATTGTCCAATATATTCATATTCCTCATCATTTCTTATAGCAGGGGATTTAATCTGTCTCAGAAATGTATTAATCACTTTTAAAATTCAAAGCATCTTATATTTTTTAACAAATATATGAATTATTAGCTATACCATAGATTGCTAAATACTGGACATGAATTATGAATAAAATCCCTTTTCCTGGGCTCCCTAAACTATATACATTATCAAAACAGCAAAATCTACCAAAGTAATAATTATATAGAAGTGAAGATTTATAGCACACTTTTTTTAATGTGTTTGGTACAGTACTAGGTACTTGACATACATTATTTAATTCTTTATCCATAAAATGTTGGTGCTAACTTTTTGCTGTTAAGGAAGTCAAGATTTAGGTTAATGTATCCAAAGTTATGAGATTTGCTCCTGGGTATATATGATTACAAAGTCCACCCTGTAAATCAATACATGTTTCCCATCATTTTCCTAGAATGATATTGAAAGGTCCTCAAACTTATTGAACATTTTTATGATCTTACTTTGCTTGAGAAATTTAACATTCAATAATCTCCATAAACACACTTATAGACTCTTAGTAAATACACACATACACATTTATAGCAACAAATAATTGCAAACAGTTGAAAAGTAGGTTTATGTCTCTATTATCTGCTTTAGAGGATGTGATTTTATCATACAGAACACTGGCTGAGGTTGACAGACAGCTGCAGAGAGCTAGTTTTGGTCATAAATCTCTGATTTTCTGGCAAAAATTGTTAGCAATATAGAAGTTGTTATCGAGAGCATATTGTGATACATTATGTCAATATTTATTTGACTGAGGAACACTGCATTTAATAAGTTAGTTCTTAAGTGCACAATTTACAACTGATGAGCTGTTTTAGAAATAAACTATGTGATATTTGTCATCAGTGCCACAAACATTTTGATGTCTTAAATGGAGATGCTAGCTTCTCTTATTTTCTAGATAAACATATGAATGGAACTGGGCTTTCAAAATTCTCCTTAAATATGTAAATTAAGTAGTAATGAAATGTAAGAGACAATTGAATAAATGAGTGAGTCACAGGGGTTTTAATCCTTTGTGACTTCTGTGATAAATTTATATAATCTGCTGGACTGTTTTATACAACATTGTCAGTTTGGCTGACCTAGTATTACAAGATGCCTAAAAATAAATTTGTTGAACTATTAAATCATT